TTACTCTAAACTGTGGTTTATTTGCTAAGTTTGCACCAAAACACACCAGTATATGTCTCAGCATCTTTAATCATTTTTGACACGTAAACACCACCATGTGAGATTTTATAATTACATGTTTTTATTAGAGCACATAATTTGCTATAAAACCTGTACACAAAGGTATGAAATGAAAGACACTTAACAAAAATCTAAATTAAAGTATGACAAAGCTTCTCATTTTCTATGGCACAAACTTTAAAAAAGCAATTACAGTTCCAGTCATATAATTACTTAAATGAAATGTGTAGACGCTGCAGATGTATTAAATATTGTATGAACACTTATAATTTACTCTCCATCACCATTTCTACAATCAAACAGCTTATTTCATGTTTGATGGAATGAAAACGGTTGCTGAAGCAGCCATGCGTTGAAATGTGTGGACTGTGAATATATTCTATGGTCACCTATCAACTTAAAACATCCATTTGTTAACAGCAGAGTGCAGCTGCAACTCTAGAGTAGCTTTTGACCTGTTGTGTTAATGCTGAGCGAAAGCAAAGGCAGAGCTGCAACATTTTCTTGGCCAGCCTCCTGACTCCAGTCAGACTCCATAAAATCGCCGTAAAAGTCGCTCTTTGCTCGGTAATAAAACTGCAAACAGCAGGAAGATTGGAGGTGGTGTCGCTGCGGGGAGCCGTCCTCTTCAGCCTCTTTTTGGATGCCTAAAATGCTGCAAAGACAGAAAAAAATCAAACGTTTTAGAAACGTTTTTTTACAAGTTACCTCTTTGCAGATTTCAAGTTGAAGAATATTTCCTATATTTACCTTTTTCTCTTTCTTCTCATTCTTCTCGTTCTTCTCATCAATCTTCAGCACAAGCTCCTTTACCCATTTCTCATTGGGGTCTGTGCAAAACTTGCGTCCCCTCTTCATGATGAAGCTAAAGGAAGGTGAAGAGTTCAGGTGAGGTTCCGGTTCAGGCGATCAGATGTGACTCAAAACAACCGTTTTCTGTTTGTAAAACTTACATTACGGCAGGGATGTTGCAGCCGCCGTCTGTCCTCTGGCGTCTGTAGTTCACTGCATGCTTTTGAACGTTGTTGGCGAGATTCTTCACATACTTCAGGCAGCAGTCCTCGTAGGACACTGAAATATCATAAATCAACTTCAATTCAGAGCCGACAAATTACGAAAACATCGCAACTTTTGTAATAAATTTGCAGAAACATTATAGTTGATTAATCTTAGTTAATCAGTCAGAACTAGCTATGGGGATGTTTAAGGTTGTAAAGTAAGCAGTAAAGACACAGGAAGTCACATCTACCCGTCCCAGCAGTCTGGCAATAAACCAAACTTTTTAACCCTAATTACTTCTTTATTGCATGCTAGATATGCAACACTATTTTCAGAAACCACATATTTGTTTGATAAATCTTTACCTTGTGCCCAAGTGAAGCAGAAACAAGAAAGAATGAGCAGGAAGGACAGCGTGTTGAACCGCATGTTGAGGTCTGTAGAGGAAAATCTGGAAAACAAATAAAAAAACCAATGCAATCAGCCTTATCAGTCTCATTACTGCAGCTCCGTTCCACCCACACATTCTCAAATAAACCTTGAACTTTTGACAAATGCAGAAATGTCAGTCTTTGTCTAACACCTGTCCAGTCACACCTTGGATCAACAAGCTAATTTATTTTGGATTATGGGAAAAAGTTTCCTGTTATATAAGTGACTCTTAATGACAAGTATGTTTGCTTTTTATTCTTTTATACATTATGCATTCTTAATATTCCTTTCATGTCAAAACTAACTGTTTGCAGTTGCTTTTAAGAAAAAATTAGGATGCACAAACATTCCCCCAGAGATTCCTGTTCTCTCCCGTGGATTTGGATAATTAACCTAATAATTTAACTAAACATTTACATCCTGCAAATGATGGCAATTCCTGTTTCCTCTTAGCATAGTGAAATGAACAACAAGCTAGAAATAAAATAAAGACGAACTAACTCTAACCCTAAAATACCTCACCTGTGATGCTGTCAGTGTTAGTTGCAGCTCCCTCTTCTTGTGTCTAGCAAACCTGTGCAGGCACTTCTCTTTATAAGATGTCTGCGCTGGCCAAATGCCAGCAGAGTCACCTTTGTACTTATCAGGGTGTTTTTTTTTTCTTTTTAAAGGATGGCTTATGAGTTTCAAAGTGTCACTGGTGTTTTTGTGTTTTTGTGCATTTTTCTCAGACGTTACCTCTGAGAAAAACAGAAAAAATTTCTTGAGTCCCCCCCCCCCCCCAATTATGTGCAATAGTTGCTTAAAAGAGTATTAACTCATAAGTGCATTCAGCTTAATTTAGTTCATTAGTAAATGACAACACAAGTCAGCTTAGGGCAGCATAAAGAGAAAGACAACAACTCACTTTTCAAAGGTTTAAGGGCTATAAAAAAAAAACCCGAAAGAGAAACATTTGCATCCAAGTACAGAAAGTGGAAAATAAATAAGATTTATGCAAAAGCAAAAGACTTTCTCATTTGGACAGAAAAATATCTTTTATTGTCCCACAACGGGGAAATTGCAAAAGCAGCAAAGTGACAGCCAATCAAAGCATGAAGATGTACACAAAGATAAAGACATAAAACATATAAAAACAGGATAAAAAGTAACATTCTGCACAGGAAGGGCAAAGTTTCGTCATAAACAATGTGCAGTTTTTAAACATAAAATAAAAAAGAATATTCACTTATTTGTTTTTACCAGTTCTAAACTATTTACAGTTTACAGCAACGATTACATTTTTTAATTATTTTAGCATTTTTTTCACCCTTAAAGTAGTTTTTCTCTTTTTTTCTGTAAAGTATTTGAATTTCCTTGTGTATGCATGTTGCTATATAACACAAAGTTTCCCCATTTAGACTCAGACAGAATCAGCAGAATAAGAGTTATTATTTAATTTTCACTGATTCTCATTTGGACTCTCCATACAACATTTTTAAACCAGTCTGACTTTTCATTAACTCATTTTGTACAACATAAAAAAATAAAGAAATACTTTAGTGCAAAATTAAACCACTTACTTTATTTATTTAACTTTAAAGGAAATTTTCGTTGTATTTGGTTGTTTCACAGGTAACTATGTTTTTTTTTACTCCAGTCAAAAACAACATCTGGATGATAAACATCTCATAAATTACAGTAAACGTTGAGGTAATTCCTGACCTGTCAAAACTTCGCTCTAGGTTAGGAATCAAAACTCGAACTACTTAACCTCACACCTAACATTATTCAACCTACAAAGTGAACATTTAATAATTACCTGTAAATCTATTCATTTCCAGTAACAACTGTGTCTTTAAACATTCAACTCAGCATGCGTAAAATTAGTTAAGGTTGCTTTGGATTATTAAAAATGTATTTTATTTATCCCCAGTGCTGACTCAAGGTTGTATGGGACCTTAAGCAGAATAAGATTTGTTTCCATTTTAGGCTATCTAGAATATTTTTACTTTATTGTCTATGGTAAAATCAAATCACATTTAACATCATTCAGATTCTCATAGGCAAATATAAAAATCTTAGATCTATAGTCTGTGTAAAAATGTAAACATTTGTGGGAGGCCCCTGGTGTTTTGGGGGCCCTAAATAGAAACTTCAGCAGTTTTATCTAGAGATAAAAACACTGGTAATGTTACATTTATGAATAAATCAAAGTCCCTTTTGTCTTTCTTTGTTACTATGCCATCTATTTGTAGTGGTCAGTGACGTCTTGGTGAGTTACTCGGTGCTTTTTTACTATAACTTGAGTATTTTTTTGGACGGCTAATTTTTACTTGAGTAAAGATTTGTTGACGTACTCTTACCTGAAAACAGTTTTTGTGGTAATCTGCCCGCCTCTGGTTGATTGTCATATTGTTTATTGTTTTGAGATGTTCAGATATAATTTCATTCTAACCTATTCTTAGAGCTGCAGGCAATGGGTCACTTACATTTCTAATGACATATTTTGGCAATATCCTCCAGTTCGCATGACTGACCAGGAATGATAAATCTGAACTACTTTTCATTAAAATTCATGACTTAATGTTGAAGGTATTGTTTTAAATAGCATAAACGTGTGGCATAGCACTATGCATATGCCCACATAAGATCTAATTCACGATTTCCAGAGAAATCAAAGTGGATGTTGAGCTGAATGATTCCCACTTTCATTTGGTTTTTTTTATTTGCTGCGCAATCATTTCTGACTTTACCCTGGTAACGTGAGCGCCAAGTTTTTACTTTTATTTTAACGAGATCCTGCAGCTGTTTGTTTTTAGTTTTCTTTTCATTTTTATGAATTTTATTCCCAGAAGTGAGACGCATCATGTTCCATCGGTCAGGGTTTCAAACGTTTTGCGCAGTACAGAGAATAGTGCACAGAGTTTGTGAAAGTTTGTTTGTTACTTATTTACTTTTATTGGTTGGAAGTTCCCAAACGTTGTTACGCAAATGTTTTATGGCTTCATAAAGGCTTCAGGCTATCTCGTCATTTGATTGTTCAATTGGCTTAATAATAAGAGCCGTCAATTATTCATAACTAGCGTACAAGAAGTTCCTTTGTGATATGTAAAATTTAGTTTGAACTATAATATTACAAGTAACACTTCAGATTTAGATTTACTAGCCTCTATCTGTTATAATAAAAAAACTAGGGCAGCTAATCTTAAAGCTCATTTTATATATTGTTTTATTATTTAATTATAGCATTCCTACTTGACATTTTGTTGATATTGTTAAGCTTTACAAACCCTTCCTGACAGCTCGGCTTCTTTTAGACAAGTAACTGGGTGTAAAGCTGTTTCTAGTGTTGAAAAGCTCCCTTTGTTTCCTCTAGCCTAGTTTTTCACCTCTCCTCACACCAAGTTCTTACTGGATTATCACCACATTTGCCTGCCTTTGTTGTTTAGAAACTATTGGTTTACAGGTGGATCTAAAATGATTCAAGCAAAACATATAAACTAGCAGCTGTTTGGATACAAAAACAATTGAAATTCAGCAGAGTTTTCCCAATTTCACACAGAATATCACTTTCAGTGACTTTTAAAGTCTCAAAATTATTCAAGGCTTTCTATGACAAGCATGTTAGTGCACCGTTGTGATGTTATAAGATGTTGACAATGGGACTCAGAGCCAGACACAGACTCATGCAGGCGGTTCACTGATATTCTTGGAGTTGCGTGCTGCGGCTGCATTTCTTTCAAATCCTACTGGAAAGTTTTATAAGAGTCACAAGACTATGATGGACACTGTAGTGTCTTCTAGGACTTTGAGATGTGCCTGGGATCATTGGAGTCCTTTAAAAGAGAGTCATCAAGAAAATATCATCACGATATCAGTGTGCACAATATTTACCTCACAAAGGATTGCTTTGAGTTTACCAGCTGTTGGCTAATATAGTTTCGAAGGTTGCATTTTTCATGCTGATAAAATATTTAGCCAGTAGGGCAGCAACAGCTCTCACCGGCCACAAATGACGCTGCCAAAAGTGCTGAAGGTCACATGGAGTTGGAAGCACAGATCAGAAAGAGAAGAAAGAAAAAATAAGCATATTTTGAACCTGATGTTGTCATGGCAACATTTAATAATATTATCAACATCATAAGATTTTCTAAAATTTCCTTCAAGGTCCAATGACACCCAAATTTCAGCTTGAAAACAGACAGAATGGGATTTCTCCCAGGATTTCCTGTCATCTAACTGAGTTCATCTTGTGGGTTTCCTGAGCAAGAAGAGGCAGAGCAGCCCCAGAGCATCACAGAGCCACCGCCGTGCTTTCCTGTAGGCACAGTGTTCTTTTTTAGCAGATACTTTCTTTCCTCTTTCAGACATTGCCAATCCAAAGAAGGAAAAACTTCCCACTTTGAGTCACAGATTAGAATCATAAAACCTGTTTACTTTTGGCTTGTTTATTCATGAACTGCTTTTTCTCACACCTTTGGGTCAGTACAGTCAGTGGTTTGTCATTTGGAGATGACACATGAAGCCCTTCATTGTGTAGGAGCTGAAAGCTGAAACCTCAGCGTTTGCTGCCAACAAGTCTTGCTGCAGGTCTTTTGCTGTCAGTTGAGGGTTTTTCACCTCAGGGAACTTCAGGGAACCTGGTGGCAGCTCTTGATAGTTTCCTGTTTCTGCCACCTCCAACTTACCTTCTAACTTGTAAACTAAGCTTCCAGGTGTTTCTCCTCACTCACTGCCTTTGTCATTTTTTAGCTTCATTTCCTTACTTTGATGATCTCTAAACTTTAGGGGAAATTTTCCCTATTTTACCTTGTTTCTGACATGCAATGAAACTTCACAGTCAACAGTTAAAAGGGAAATATGCAAAAGTCACATTTTGCACGATTTTGCACTTCAATATGGTCAGATAGAGCAAAAAAGTTCTGCCTCTAAAATCAGCCCAAGTTAAAGTTTTTTGGTGTCTGGAAAATGAGCAGCTTTAAAAACCTTCCAATTGTTAAGTCACATTCAACAGGCACTTCAACTTCACCTAGCAACCCCAGCAAAGCCCACCCCATTGCCTAGCAACCTAAAGCTGCATTCCACCACATTTGATCAGCTGGTTTTACCGTTGTGTGCACTGTACAATGGCTGCTGGAATATACAAATGTTTCGTTGTTGACTTACCATCCAGAAACCACTTGTTGCATTCTTGTTGGTTGTGCAGGAGGCTCTACTTCTGCTTTTCAAAGATGCACAGTTGTATAGTTGTGCTTCTGTTTGCAGCCAGTTTCACGTTGAGAAGGGGGGGCGTGGCCAGCAGCAGCTTATAATTTAAAGTGATAAGAGGCCCTAAAACAGCTCATTCTGAAAGGAATCCAAAACTGCGAATTGAGCAGACTAAAATCTCTTTCCTAAAAATGATTTTGTGCAAAAGAATTGAAATGAATATGTTTTGTATCGTCCATAGACCTATCCTAACCTGTTCAAGGAAGCATAATAGAGCCGTTAAGGTATTAGTATGCCTGAGCTGTGCCTCAGACCACACCTGATTTTCAAAGGTGTGTTTTTATAAAGAATCTTATTCAGAAAGGTGGAATAATTTTGAAGCAGAAGTATCAAAGTAGGAATTAAGGTTTCAATATGGATAAAACCCCTTCGGTATTAGATTTAATGTAGCTATTTAAAGTGTTCTTGTGTAATCTGATTACTTTCTACCAATCAACCAAATTTATAGCGCACATTAACTCATCTTAGGAGCAACTATAATGTATTTCTTCCTCGTTTTGAATTATGGGAATTTACTTACATTTTTAGCATTTATTTTTTCCATAGTGATTTAATGTTTGCTCTTCTTATATTATTCTTAAAAGAATCTGTCATTATGAACCATCGCTTGTGCCGAGTCTGTTATGTTCTGTTATTTTTAGCCAACGGCTGTGGAGAAACATTTCATTAAATCCCTTGTCAGCACTCCTATATCACATTTCCACTTAAAGCGTTTCCTCTTAACTCCTGAAAATAGCTGTTTATGTCACTTTCAAAGGAATTTCTGCATTACTTCGAGTGACAGAAGTTAATGAGGCCCTCAGTGCCTGAGTGGACACCTGATCCGGCCACTCACTGTTTTTGTTTCTAACATCATCTGCTGGAACCCAGTAAAGCGTTGCATCTTTATTTGCCTGCTGGGTACCGCTGCCTAGTCATAAAAATAAAAACACACCCATAGAGACAGAAAATTTATATTTCTCCCCAGATACCACCCAGACTCTTATAGCATTTAATGTTACATTTTCTATGATTTACTGGCAATTTACTTGGCTTCGTTGTGCAATTTTGGCTTGACATGTTTCCTGCTGTCTGTGTACATTTGATCACGTTCATATTTTGTTTACTGGAAAAATAGCTTGTAAGTTATTGAGAAAAGAAAAATGGCACTGTTGATCTCTGATCTTGGCTTGCATGTTTGAGAAATCCTGATGGATTAATGGGCCCATTTGTCAGGATCTGATGGTCCGATGCCAAGGAGACTTGGACTCGGTCCGGGTAATGATTCACCATGTTGTCTTCAGCGTTCCTTTCAGACAGCATGATACGCTGCTTTATCCCTTCATCTCTGCTGTCATTTACATACATTTGAAAGGAAGATGTCTCCAAGAAGCCATTCATCAGAATGTGAAATTCTTTATCTTGGCACACAGTATAAGAAAAGCTACAACATGGACAAGAGCAGAACCATTTCAAATGCTGCGGACTGAATAGTAACACACATTGAACACTTACTTCTGTTGCAACCATCCATTTTTAAACTGGAATGTGCCTTAAAAAGAATAATTTGAGAAACAGAAAGTTCTTTGATTTATCTGTTGCCTAAACACAAACATCAGGGGATTAAGTTTTCTCACATTAATTTTCTGCTGGTTTTTATTTTTTTTATGGTTGGAACTTCCACTTCTTAAATTTGCCAAGATGAAACAGATTCCTACTAACTGACAAAAAAGAAAAACTAATGTTTGATGATAATATGAACAAAAACATTGCTCTTAAAGTTCTGTTCAGTATGACTTGTGTATTTTAAGAAGCTAATCTCTCACTAAGTTGCAAACATCCAAATTCAAACATTGGAAGAATGAAAGAAAGTGGAATACAAGCAACTGCTCGTCCTCGAACAAAAGGTGCCACAAGATGTGTGTAACTTAGTGTGGAAAGAAAAGCCTGATCTACAAATACCCGAGCAGTTAAGAAGCAGAGTCAGAAAACAGCATGACAGAAAGAAAGCCAGGAGAAAGCCCCTTTGAAAACAGTTGAAAGTTGCCAAGGAGTGGCGGTGTTACATGTGGTCACCTTGACTTCAGTGCATAACACAATGACCACCAAAGACGTTAGTAAAGACAACAACATCTCCAGCTCGGGTTGAGCAAATAAACTAAAGATTTATATGTGAACATGAACAGTAAGGAAGAGAGAATAAGGAGAGATTTTGTCTCAGGCCAATAGCTTGGAGACCACACAAACTGGCACTCTACCCAGGGATTTTGAAGCGCTCAGTGACAGGCAGACAAGTCACTCAGACATTGTTTCTGAGTGAAACAGAAACAATGTCTGAGATGTTTCAAAGACACTGTCTGTCTTGCCATTTGGATTATAAAGTGTTTTTTAGTGTAAAACTATTTTACACTAAAAAACAATTTTATAATATACAAATACTTTCTCTTGTTCATTTGGCTCAGACACAATAAACAAAATTGGTCACTCCAGCCTGTGATAAACTGGCGACATGTCCAGGGCGTGCCCCGCCTCTCAGCTGATGATCATTGGTCAAAGGCACCAGCAACCATCATGAAGAGTTAGTGTCATCAGATAATGTATGGATGGATGGTTGCTACTGAAGGTAATACAATATAGAACTCCTAAAACACAAAAACCGTGTTAAAAAAACACATTTTCTCACCTGGAAAACTTTATGCTCACAAACAATACCTCGTTGGTCTAGCTGCTGACATCGGAGAAGCTTTTGACTCTCTCTACTGTAGCATGAACTGATAATGCCTTTCTGTTTGAGAAAGCTATTTTTTGTGGGGAGGGCACAAAGTACTTATGTACTTTGTAAATCATTCAAAAGACCGACCATGATTTATTTACATTTCATGCTTTCAAGAGAAACTCCTGTCAGTTAATGAATTATGGAGAACTTATTACTTTAGACAAACAATTAGCCTTATACTTTTAATATCGGAGCAAGACTTAGAGAAACTGTTGTTAGTTTATAAATTGTGGAGTACTTATCAACCCAGAACAAGAATCAAATATGGAGAACCAACATTTAGCTACTTCAACATTTTAAAGTCTAGTTTTCTTTTATTGTGCATTTTTCTCTTTCTTTTGGTTTAGTTGTTTTGTTTATGATCCCTTCTAATTCCTGTAAAGCACTTTGACCTGCCTTGTTACTGAAAACGTGCTATATAGATAAAAATTACATTACCTTCAACATTTGACCTTTGGTGTTCTGGACTAACTCCAGAACATCAACCATGATTGTTGCTACAACCCTGAAAATATGCTTATAAAGTTTACATTTTACATATTCAATTTCTTTCTTTCCTCTGAAAGGGTCAGGTTAAAATAATACAAATCACAAATATCTTGTTAGAGTTGGAAAATTACAATCCTATGAACAACCATGAAGATGATTTATTGGGGCTCCAAACTGGAGTTTCTACAACCAGACACAATAAAAAAGTACTAAGCTCCTATTAAATTAATAAGGTTATATATCACTCCACATGTAGGCGTGACGTCTGATAACTGCATCAAGGTTATACTCCAAATAAAAACATTTCTATATTCTTCCAAAGTTGGAAAGAGTCCTAAAATTATTTTACAAATTCTGCACAGACTTGTTGAAAGGACTGTGAGCTGTGAAGTAAAACTAGATTTTAATATTTTGACCATAATTTATGATCTCTGTGAAATGTTCCGGTTTGTTAAATAACTGTTAATGGGATTCAACCTGCAGGACATAAAGGACATAAATCACAACACAAATTACTGTGTTAGTAGCCACATTTTACACATTTTGTATCAAAGAC